TTTCAGGTTAGGATTTAATACGAAAATGCAATTTTAACATTGCTTTGAACTTCCAAAAAGAAACGTCAAATCGCAACTTTAAAGTGATTTTTCGGTAAGTACTACACTTTTCCGCACTTTTTTTTTATCATTAACACATCTTTTGAGTCATTTCCTACCGATTAAAAAAAAATCATCGATTTTTAAGTGGGACAGGTATTCTTTAATTATTCCATAAAAAGCGCGACAAAGTTCGTAGTATGATTCCTAAATCTTCTTTGGCAGCTCGAATTGAGGTGTTGGGACTGGGGTCGAAATAAGCCAAGGCATTCACCTCTTCCGTTGCATTATCTACTACATTTTTTGGTCAGTTTAACACGTGATTAATTCGTCCAAAATGCAAAAATTTGCTTCCATTCTTCTAAATTTACCTTTTGTCATCGGAGAAAAATAATTTTCATTAAACATTCTGCAAGTTCTACTAAGAACTTTGTCGCACTTTTCGTGCACAAAAAATAAATTATGGATTTCTTCATTTGTATAAACATTATTTACGTTATTAATATCCATTTTAACTGGTTTTAGACTCACAAGCATCAAACAACCTAAATTAGACTTTGACGTTTATCAATAAGTCATTAAACATTTGTTTTCCATGGCACACTAGGTTAATATCCATATGATATGTGAGCATTTTTCAAAAAACCCTAATTATTTCTCAAACTATTAATGTTAGGCATAGGACATATGGAATATAAAAGATGTAAAATGAGACGCCGAAGACGACTAAGTAATAAAATATGGGGGGTGCCATTTAAAAAAATTAAGTTATGGTGCTTCCAAATTTCGAAAAGTTAACGTGTCATAGTAAAGTGACCAAACGATCTAGACAGCCGTTCTTGGCACCAAAACATACTCCATCATGTTGTTTAAGCATGTTCTGAATCCTAAATTGATATCTCAAAAATCGAGTGTTCTCTGATTTTTTGAACAAATGTACGCTGGAGCAGATTTTTCTAGAAAAAATCGAATAACTCGAGAAGTAAGTTATTTATAAACCTTCAAAACAGACAAATCCAAATATGTAAATATATACAGGGTGTTCCATTTACAAAAATAAAGTAGGTGGCGACTTCCGGTATAACCGGAAGTGCTAGAAATCTGAAAATATTTTAGACGAAGAGAACGTAATTGATAATACTTAAGTCTGAATTCTCAATTTTTTATTTTGGCCAGAACCACAGAAACGTCTAATGACCGGTCTCGCTGAGACACCTTGTATAGTAGAAACCACGAGAGCTGGCAGTGACAGATCGCTTAAAAATGGTATGAATCAAGATATGGACGTACGACTTAGATTATTTCACCACATACATTTAAATGTAGGTTATGTTAGTAATGGAGGTTATATGTCAAACATTGTCAAAGATATTATTTAATGATTTTCCTTTCAAAGAAAACATTTTCGGCTTGTGAAAACACTAACAGATTCATGACAACGCTCACAAGACGTTTCGATTTGAGGTTATAATTATAGAGTTACATCCCTTAGAAGAACAGACGTACTTTTTCGACGTGGCCATTTGAATTGTACAGCAGACATATTAAACTAATGCTATCTCTTTCTAACACACATTACTCTCTAGCGGTTTGTGAACTACGTATGGCATTTATACGAGCGGAAAACGATGATTTACTGCCAGCTCTGGTGGCGTCTACTATATAAGTACTTTTTTCCAATATCACATAGCCGGCATTTTTATCGCCTAAGGTTACTATGAGATTTTCCCTAGATATTTTGTTTTTTAGTATTTTGACTTCATTTAACAAGTTATGGTTTTGTTTATTTAACCTGCTATGGTTTTCTATGTTTTTAATGAGATCATGGTTCTCGAAGAAAATTTGTTTGATATCTGGGTTAGAATAAAGTTGTGACTCTAATTTTATTGCGATATCTATGGGTTTTGTTGTATGGGGCAAGGAATATTTGTGTCCTAAATTGAGGATCTCTATGTCATCGTTTGATAATTCGACATTGCTTAAGTTTGTGTATCTGGGAGCGAATTTAGGTTTTTCAAAGACATTAAGATTAATAATTTGGACTGGATTATCTATGTCAAACCTTTTAACAACGAAATACTTTTGGTCTTCACTTTGATGTTCTGTTACTTGACCTTGGTTATTGTGAATCTCATTAATATTAGTAATTGTCTCTAGCCTATTTGACTTATTAATGTCAATTAAATGGGAAGTAGTTGTCCTTATATATTTGTTTTTATTCTTATCATTATTGATCTTATCTAAGACTAACCTACGAAGTTTCTTCCTCTTTGTTTCCTTGTTATGGAGGGTCTTGTGAAGGGCCTCCGCGCTGAATTTACCATAAATTTCTTCGTATTCTATATAGTTGAGCGTGTCATGGAGTTTCTTATGTATAAGTTTCAACGTTGAATCATATGTGGTTAGTTTCTTGTATTGTTCTCTGATATTTTTCTTTATGAGTTTCTTCTTTATTTCTATCTTTTGGTGGTTAAATGTTTTCGGTATTTTGATTTTGAAAGCGTTGGGAGTTACTTTCAACTGTATGGCCTTATGTAAAAAATTGATATTGTCTCTCACTTTTTTGATTAGTTATAGGTGTCTCCAAGAACTTGCGTTTTATATTTTTTGTCCCTGAGATTCATGTTCTTTAATTTAACAAAAAAAAAATGTATGTTTTGTTCGTTGTTATCCAATTAAATAATTGTTATATGTTTTCTGTGTGATTTATTTGTAAAAAATTTGGTTTACTTATATAATTAATTAATTCGAATAATACAATATATTTTATAATCATTTTAGCCCTCCGACGTTTGTAAAGTTCTATGGTGTACAAATAATAACGCCGGTTGTCAAACCCAACACATGCCATGGGCTGATGGTACAAAATGTGGACACGAAAGGTTTAAAAAAAAATTATAATAATTAACTTTTTTTGTTAAAATAAAAATTTTAGTTGGTGTCATAATCGGGAATGCGTTCGAAAAGATTTAAGTTCGTTAACACCGATAAATGGCTCATGGGGACCATGGAAAGGGTATGATTTATTTAAATTTTTTTTGCTTACATTTTTTTATAATTTTTTTAGATGGGGAGAGTGTTCGAGAACTTGCGGTGGGGGAATTGCAATTTCGAAACGTTATTGTGACTCCCCGCCCCCGGAAAACGGGGGCTCTTATTGCATAGGAGAAAATACCCGGTATATGTCTTGTAATACTGAAGATTGTCTACCAAATAGTCCAGATTTTAGGTACGTAATATATAAGTTTTTCCGTGATTGGAGAAGTTTCGAATGAAGTGAGATATAAAATAAAATATAATAACACGATTTGGTGTTGATACATTAAGGCTCGTTACTACCATCTTCTGGTTAAGCTATCTAAGGGATTATTACCACGGTTATGGTTATTTTACGCACTCTGATTGGCTAGTAGATGGGTTTATCTATAAGATAAATTTAACTAAAAGATGGTAGTAATGGACCTAAGGCCCACTTTTATCATCCTCCTGATAAACTATCTAGAGGATAGTTGCCATGGTTACGGCGGTTTTAAGCACTCTCATTGACTAAGGGCCGGTTTATCAATGTCGAGTTAAATCTGTTAGATACGCAACTCATGGATAAACTTGCCTAACAGATAACCTCAGTGAACCGTTTATCCAGCAACTTTCTACCCGACAGGCAGCAACCTACGAGATAGAACATAGATGGTACCCCTGAGTGNGATTTGAAGTGAAATCGTTCCTTATACAAGGTGATTCAAAAAACCGCCGACAGACTTCTAAAGTCTTAATATACTGGGCTAAAAAAGTTGTATAAATTGTCGATTCTTTTGTTGGTGGGATTTTCCAAAAACTTGATGAACAATCTAATTTTGTAAATACATACCTTACTGTCATTTAATTATGCCTCCTCTACTCGGAAGTAATACTGTTTTTCTTTTCACGTACTTATTTAATTCTGTATAATCTCCACATATCCTGATTGTTCGGTCTCTGCGATCTCTTTGATCACATTCAATTGTACCATTTATAGCATCCTCCTTACCTTATTCGGTTTTGCATCTTTATTCACAAAATAAATTTGTTGTTTATTGTTTACGTTATTTCATTCTGACAAAATTAGTTGAAGTTAGTGATTAAACGGATAGTGATTTTGCGAACAGCCGGATACCGGATATTCGGTATCCACTTCGGCCGGATATGGTTATATATTATGGTTATAATTTCTCCTGCATTTCTGAAGTGACACCCTACATTGCCACATTATTGCGATATTTGAATAAACATGAAACTAATAAGAAACCTGATAAGATATGTCAACTTACTTCGATCTAAGATACAAAATGAACTTTATTGATGCTGATTTGTGATTGACCAATGAAGCAGCTCTAAAAAGAGGATACTTTAACTAATAATTGGCGATATTTCCACAAGGATCCTTCAAGAAATTAATTTTGTAGCGAATTTTGAAAGTTATCGATGAAAATTGCAACATCGAAAATTTTATCAATACTTCAAATATTGTTTTCTCAAAAACTAAAAGTTATTTTTCAAAACGGGTTGGTTCATTGGAAAGAGGACACTTTTATTAACACTNGTGTGCTTTCGGTATTGTGCTTTGTTTTCGAAAACCTCTTTTATAATGGAATTCCTACATGAATATTTATTAGACAGCGATAAAGATGAGTATATTGTCCAACTCTTAAATTATAAACGACGACCATATATTATAAAAGAAAGACAAAAGTCAAAACTACTTTGAGGAGTTGGACGACCACGTTTTTTTTTGTTAGATTTCGGTTAAAAAAGGACACAGTTTTGTCAATCTTGGTTAAAATTAAGACGGGATTATATTATATTAGATTATATTATTTTTTTTTTTTAATTACTAGATTATTATTTATTTTCTATAACATTTTTATATTCGTTTGCCAAATCCATAAGCAAGTTCTTTTCTACTGTACTAAAATTTGATGATCTTTTCTTTCTCTTGCTTATCCATCAACACAATTATAAGCTTAATTTATTTTTGGCGTTATATTTTAATTTCATTATCATTTCCTTTCACCAAGCAACCAAACTTGTGCTCAAATTTTTTTGACAAATCTAATAGGTAAACCCTTAACCAGTACTTCAATCTGGTGGGTATCCTAATGTCATATTTATCTATAAGATTACCCTAAACTACGGGTGGATAAACGATTCGTCGACGTTATCTATCAGCTACAATTTTAATTGACACATAAATCGTCTTAACTAGATATTGATAAACCGGCCCTAAGGCTCGTTACTACCATCTTCTGGTTAAGCTATCTAAGGGATTATTACCGTGGTTACGGTTATTTTACGCGCTCTGATTGGCTAGTAGATGGGTTTATCTATAAGATAAATTTAACTAAAAGATGGTAGTAAAGGACCTAAGAGCTGGATTTATCTATTGGATAAATTTATCAAGAGGTGGTAAAAGTGGGCCTTAAACGAGTGATTTGAAGTGAAATCGTTCCTTATACAAGGTGATTCAAAAAACCGCCGACAGTCTAAAGTCTTAATATACATGGGCTAAAAAGGTTGTATAAATTGTCGATTCTTTTGTTAGTGGGATTTTCCAAAAACTTGATGAACAATCTAATTTTGTAAATATCTTACTGTCATTTAATTGTGCCTGCTCTACACTTGGAAGTAATACTGTCTCCCTTTTAACGTACTTATTTAATTCTGTATAATCTCCACATATCCTGATCACATTCAATTGTACCATTTATAGCATCCTCTCTTACCTTATTCGACAATGGCACTGTTACTCTTCTTCCCAATAGAAAATGGTTTTGCATCTTTATTCACAAAATAAATTTGTTGTTTATTGTTTACGTTATTTCATTCTGACAAAATTAGTTGAAGTTAGTGATGGAATGGATAGTGATTTTGCGAGCAGCCGGATACCGGATATTAGGTATCCCCTTCGGCCGGATATGGTTATATTATGGTTATAATTTCTAGTGCATTTCTGAAGTGACACCCTACATTGCCACATTATTGCGATATTTGAATAAACATGAAACTAATAAGAAACCTGATAAGATATGTCAACTTATTTGGATCCAAGATACAAAATGAACTTTTTTGATACTGCTTTAACCAATGAAGCAACTCTAAAAAGAGGATACTTTAACTAATAATTGGCGATATTTCCACAGGGAGCCTTCAAGAAATTAATTATATAGCGAATTTTGAAAATTATCGATGAAAATTGCAACATCGAAAATTTTATCAATACTTCAAATATTGTTTTCTCAAAAACTAAAAGTTATTTTTCAAAACGGGTTGGTTCTTTGGAAAGAGGACACTTTTATTAACACGTTGGGAAATTTTCATACTCATATTCCAAGAAATGGATTTTATACAAATTTTTAAAACTTAATCGGCGAAAATTGCAAAATTCGAAAAAATTGTCGATTATTTCAAAAATTTATTTCTGAAGAACTAAAAGTGATTTTTCAAAACGGCTTGTTACATTAAAACGAGGATACTTCCATTAATAAATGGTGATATTTCCACAAGGATTCTTCAACAATCATTCTTCCACAAGAGAAGAAAATTAGACGAAACTGCAACAAGAGATTTTATATATCGTATTGGGATTGTTACAATGAGGTTGCTAATGACAAACCTGATATAAATAAAGTTGTATTCAATGAAAAAATAAAAACCCCTATTGGGGTTGAACATTTGTTTATTAGCTGCTGCGTCCAATACCTAAAAGAGATACTAATTCCTGTGAATGATGGTACTAAGTAATAGATTTTTAATATCAATTGATAGATAATTAATCATTTTACAGGAAAATACTGCCCGTTTGACAAAATTAGCAGTGGTGTAGAAAATATTTTTAAAAAATGGTTTTGTATTGTAGATGTTGAATTTTAAAGAAACTTTGACGCCCTATATCTCTTTAAAGAGGCATTTGCTCGCAAGCGACCTTAGCAGTGTTAGATCTTGATTGAATACTTGACGGTTTGAAAGAAACTACATTTTTCCAGTAGTAGCTAAGGCAGTCATTATGACATATGAGTTTTACGACAACGACTTAATGTACCAAGTACACCGTATTAATCAATTATCGTACCCGACGTCATCATTGCAACTATGCAACCAATATCACAGTATTGGTATTGCAATACGCGACTTGCGTATTTGGTTGCATACTTGCAATGATGACGTGTGGTACGATATAAATTAACACACTGTATATAGGCCTGTGGTAACCAATCTCATTGGATCACCTGGTAATATTATAACTGTCCTTTTCCGTATTCCTTCTAATTCCACCCTGCCAGTTCCAAGTAACCACATCCCTTTCATCTTTAATCCTATCTAGCTCTGCCTTCTTATCCATAAATTGTCGTGTAATAAGCTGAAACTGAAGATGTCTTCATCCACTCTATACGCAAACACTTCATCCGTAGTTGATAATTAAATACACATTAAACGGTCTATGTCCAGTTAGAAGTTGTATGTCCTTGCTAAACAGGCGCAACCTTTGTTGATAACCCTATACACTTCTCTCTCTTTGTCCGATTCCATCCATCTTCTCATCCATGCTTCTCTCACCTCCATAACCCTACTCCTACTCTTCCAATTGTACTTTCTCGCCATCTCTAAACTGCCTTCTTTTCTTCTGTAATTTCTCATTCCACCTTACTCATTACCACATTACTTGCTCCATAACACTTTTTCACATGCATTCATTATCCCATCATTTTACACTTTCATTCTTTCCTCATAGCACTCGATCATTTTGCGATCACTCAATAAGGGCTCGTTCGACTATCTGTACTGTGGTGTCTATCTAGATAGACTCGTTCGTTGTCTCGAATGTTTGTTTTCCTCTTTCCTTATGTTATCAGAAGGACATGGAGTGAGACTCCATGAAAATTTGTTGCAATAACAAAACACTTCACCCGCCTAATAAGTTATTAAATGCAATATATATTTCACATAATAGCTTATATACAGTGTGTCCGTAAAGTAACGGATATAGACGATAAAATCATAATAAACTGTTTATGGAAAAATCCCTGAAACGGGTCTAAAGATTTAAATTTTTTGGTGCAGATTTCAATTTTTTTCCGCCATTTTTAAACCAGTTATGACGTCATCGATATTTTTTTCAAATGGCAATCCCCCATTTTTATTACGGCATATGAAAGAGAATTTTTTTCTGAATCTAATATTGTATGTTGTATGTTATATACTAATCTAATATTGTATGTTAATATTAATATTGGTTACATAAGAAAATTTTCGAGAAAAATTACTTTTAAGTTTAATTACTTCAAATTTGTATAATGATGAAAATAGCAGCAGCCATGAGTAACTATGGTAACCAATTATTTTAAAAATTCTCTGAGTGTCAAAAGTAAAGCTTCTTGAAGTGTGGTGGCGCTCCATAATGTTGGAATAACTGACGTTGGAATTGAGTTGTGTCAACATTATCGGGATGGAAGGAACAACATCGCTTTGAAAAAATTTTAACATCTCTTTCCAGTTAAGGTTTCCTCAAATTTTTTGTGGATATTGGGTTGGGTTGGATTGGGTGCGACTTTCTTAGCTAGTTTGGATTTTGGGTAGCGCAATACCGATAACTTTCTCTATTTACTTGTCCACTCAACGTAAATGTCCCTTCGTCGAAAAAATTATGTTCTTGACAAAGTCTTTGTCATCGTTGCAAAATTGTTGTTGCAAAAACTACGATTCATTGCTCGTGAATCAGGTTTACTTTATGGGAATGATATTTTGCGGGTTTTAAAATTTTATGAAGCGTTGATTTACTAATGTCCAAATTAGACCCAATACTCCTTACAGTAACATGATGGTATTCTTGCTCAGCCAAAAATACGATTTGTTAAACTTCCCCTGAAACATTTAGTAGGCCAGACTTCGAGAAATGCTTCGAGAGATAGCCATGCTGTTTAAATTTAGTCACAGCTAGGCTCATCATACTTTGGCTAATGAGTTGACGATCAGGATATGTTGTATGAAACAGGTTAACTACTTACTAAATCAGTTTTTGACGCTTAGGAAATTGTTTAAAATCACTGGTTACCATAGTTACTCATGGCTACTGCTATTTTCATCATGTCAACAAATCTAAAGTAATTAAACTTTAAAGTAATTTTTCTCGAAAATTTTCTTATGTAAGCAATATTAGTATTGACTGTACTAGATTCAGAAAAAGTCTTCTTTCATATTCCGTAATAAAAATGGGGGATTGCCATTTGAAAAAAATACCGATGACGTCATAACTCACTTAAAAATGGCGGAAGAAATTTAAAATCTAAAATCTACACCAAACAATTGCAAAAAATTTAAATCTTTAGACCCGTTTCAGGGATTTTTCCATAAACTGTTTATAATGATTTTGTCCACGACTACCTTATAATAGCTTTGTTTGGTATCTTGCACTAACGTACACCAGTGCACACTTTTTCTTAAAAATAGTGTTTGGTAGACTGGTGCAAACAAGTGTAGATAGTGCCGCCGCGTTTGGTAAGCGATTGAGTTTTAAAAGTGCAGACACTTTTCACACCGACTCGCCGGCAAGTGTAGGAAGTGTAGTGTAAGTCGACATAACCTTTAAGACGTATTTAGTTTTTTGAAAGTGTCAAAGTTAGATTTATTTAAACAAAAATAAAATATTGTAAGCTAGTAAAAACAATAAATAACAGTTTGATTTGTAGAAAACGTTCTATTCAATTAAAATTAAAAACCCAATAGGAAGTTCTCCGGTTAAATATAATGGCTAAAATTGAAAGACAGTTAAATGTAAAAATAATTTATGATGAAGGGGGAAAACTACAGGCAACATTTCCTTTTTTGATTTATTCATCTTGATTCTTTGATCAATAATAAATTATTCAACTTCCTACAGAAATAATAAAGATTACATAACCTATAACTGTCATAACAATCCGTTTTACCAAACACCTAAAATTGTTACA